GGCCAGGACAGAGGGCTTGGCCCCGCCACACAGATGACAGCATTAGAGATTACGGGTTTGATGTAAAATAATTTGCATGTGATTTACATAAATACATATGCTCTTAAACATTAAAAAACATTTTCAATAGCTACACATTCTAAATACAGTTCCACACCCTTCCCACCAGTTACTGTCTTGCCTTTCGATCACCACTCTCCCTGACTCTGCTCGTAAACCACGTTCTAATGCTGCTAACATGCGTTTCCTCCAGAAAGTCTTTCTTCATCCCACTTGACACTGCTTACATCGCTCGGTGGTGGGGAAAAGGAAACACGCTAGACTGAAGTCTGGGTTTTAAACCTTCTAACATCTACTATGTACTAGCTGGGCATCCTGTTACTTAAGAATTCAGTCCTCACTTTCTCTTCAAAGTATTTTGAGTATGTTTGGAGGGGTGGTGCTCCCAGTGGGGCAGAAGCTAGTGACTCTGAGTCCTCTCCTCTCTAACCTCAATCGGCCACCCCAAAAGCACTCACTACAAAGTTCTTTCCCATAAAGAAGAATAAAAATCACCAGGTTCCTCAAAAAACAAACAAACAAACAAACAACCATACAATTTAAAAAATCGGTGAAGAACTTGAACAGACATTTTTCCAAAGAAGACATACAGATGGCCAACAGGTGCATGAAAAGGTACTCAATGTCACTAATCGGGGAAATGCGAATCCAAACCATGAGATACTACCACCTTATACCTGTCAGAATGACTAGCATCAAAAGACAAAAATAGTATTGGTGAGAATGTGGAGAAAAGGGAACCCTTGTCCACTGTTGGTGGGAATTTAAAATGATTAAGTCACTATGGGAAACAGTATGGATGTCCCTTAAAAAATTAAAAATAGAACTATATGATCCAGCAATTTCACTTCTGGTTTTCGATCCATAGAAGATGAAAATACTAATTTGAAGAGATATATGTACCTCTACATTCATTGCAGCATTATTTGCAATAGCCAAGAATGGAAGCAACCTAAGTGTTCATTGATAGATGATTGTATAAAAAAGATGCGATATATAATAGAATATTATTCAGCCATAAAAAAGAATGAAATCTTGTCATTTGCAACATCATAGATGGACTTAGAAAGTATTATGCTATGTGAAATACGTAAAAAAAAAAATACTATATGATTTCACTTAAAATGTGGAATCTAAAAACACAAAACAGAAACAGTCTCATACAGTAAACAAACTAGTTGTTACCAGAGAGAGGAGTTGTTGCATGGGTGAAATAGGTGAAGAAGGTTAAAAAGTACGAGCTTCTAGTTGTAAAATAAATCAAGGGATATGATATACAGCATAGGGAATATAGTCAATAATATTGTAATAAATTTGTATGGTGACATGGTAACCAGACTTATCATGGGGATCGTTGTATAATGTATATAAATATCGAGTTATTATGATGTAGGCCTGAAATGAGTGGGATATTATATGTCAATTATACATCAATTACATTTATACATACATACATACACACGCAGTGGGCATTCACCTGTCTGTTCTCCAAGGATCTTGCAATTTCCCACTTTTCCCCAGAATTAAATGCCTAACGTGGAAAATCAACAACTACCTGGGTCAGCCTCAGGATGCTCCTGGCTCTCTGGCCGACAGTACTTTCCGAATGCCTCCTCCTTGGGGATGTCAGGATAGAGATAGACCAGCGGCGACACTAGGATATTGGTGGCATCCATGATCTTATAGCCCATGATGATTTCCGCAAATGACATGTTGTTCAGCTGCTGCTTGGTATATGGTTCCACTGACTGGATCTGCGTCTTACCTGTCATGGATATGGGAAAGGAAGATAATGGAACCTATGGCTAGGTAATCTCAGAGAGAACTACTTAATTTATTTTTCCTTGAGAGGGAAAGGCTTATGCCCGCCTAGCGCTTGAGATCCTAAATATTCCACTCAGTCACCTGGCACTGTGGACATGTTCAGCTGGCTTCTGGGGAGGCTATCCAGCTGGGTCACAGGTAACACACTTGAATAACTACTTGCGTAAGATATATTAACAGGGTAGGTAAGAAAGGAGATGAAGAATAAAATTTAAATTGCAAATTTCTAGGCAAATATTAGACCCTGGAGCAAGCAAAACCAAACTGGCAAACCAATCCTTCAGCTGGAAGAACTTAGAGAACTAAGAAGCCACCCCGCCAAGTGTGTTTTGCAAGTCTGAGGCAAGGCGTGCGAAGCCATCTCTGCCCACTAGGGGGCAGTGGGTGCTTGAAAATAGCAGCAGCCACGCTGGGAAACAGAAATTGTCACCAGTGAGGGTGGGGGATGGCCAAGCTTACCGCTGATGTCCTTCTCTACCCATGTGAAAGTGACGCCTCCTTCTTTGCTGCTTTCACTGAATCTCAGCAGGAGGTGCCTGGGGGCTTGGTACTCAGAATGGCTCTCTCCCTCTCCTTACTGATGAAGCCCATTATGTATCTGGAGCCACAGAGGAGCAACGAGAATGTATGGGTTGAAGGGAACCCAGCCATTGGCCTGAGACAGCAGATAACCTGTTACACCTGTGTACTCTGCCAGACACGAGAGTGTCAACCTACCCTTCATTCCAAAGGGCCAGGATGTACTTTTTCACAAGGTCGATGATATTGTCCAGCCAGACCCAGAAGGAGAAGCCCTTGCCAGCCATGTTTTCCTGGAAAAAAAGGATAATGGGAAAGTCAAGGCTACCACCATCTCAGCTTTTTCCTTCCTAGGGGCACAGTGCCACCAACATTCTCAGGCCTATCTACCCTCGGGCAGGTCCTACTGGCTGCAGGACTAAGAGTCTCTGGCCTGCAGGCCCGGTGTCCTCTACCACAACCTTTCAGGTGAGCAGCCCCCTCCCACGCCTCTCCCCAAGACGGGGAGACAAGGAGTTAACAAGATCGCTTACTTTGCAAAATTTTGCCCATGTGATCTGACACCCTGAATAGTTCACACCAGGTCCTGAGGAAAGAAAAGAATAAAGCAGTGTAATTTTCAGCTTTGAATCAATACCTTATTTCTTAAAACAGAACACACACTGATATACATTTGTCCCACAATGGGCCTTGAAACCATTGGTTTTCACGTATTTGAAGGTTGTGCCCATTGTGCATACATGCGTGTGTGTGTATGCAAGCGTGCACACACACCCACATACTCACCCAATATACCCGACCTCATCATTTGAAGCCCCCCACTCTCTGAGTTGTTCAGCCTCACAGAGGTGGTAGATGATCTATCAAGTTCCCCTGCTCTTCCTAGCCTTGTGTGGTGGCCCGGGGAGCAGCAGCACACACTCATAAGCTGACAGCGAGTGCTACAAGATCACATTTAGTGGTGGCACAGGACAGAGCTACTTATAGTCCAGGTAGCACATAAAACATCCCGCTAAAATTTTTTTCCAGGGGAAAAATTTAAAAACAAACATACGGTTTATTGAAGAAATGAAAAGGGATATCAAGCCTACAGTTCCACCTTCTAACAAGAACTTAAAACATCTTCCTAAGATTAGACAAAGTAGTACCCTGGGAGGGTGAGGGACACAGCCATGAAGAGAAAAGAAATCTGCCGCCCACTGCACACAAATGATCACCCCGAGGCAAACTTCCTCTGGATCATACGTGTTCTGGTCCAGGCACAGAGCCTTGTCCAGTGAATATTCCTAAATGAAAAGACCCACAGGCCAGATTCCTTTTCTGAGGAGGGCGAAAGAAAGAAGAGGTAAAATGCTGACCTAGGAGCTTCTCTGCCAGCGTAGTCAACTGCTCGATGCTCAGCCCCCGCTTCGTGGTGGAGGAGAACTGCCAGCTCAGCACCTCAGCCACTTGATCCCAGGTTCCAATCGGGGGCTTGGTGAAAAAGTTCACGTTCTATTGAAAATAACACATTTATTAATTTAGATGAGAGGGCGGTGCTTGATGACCTGTACTAGGTACCACACAAACACCGCTGGGCAGCGAGGAATCAGAAGAGAAGGTGGGTTTCCTTCCAGAGGACGGGGCACTAACCTTGGGGTTGTTGGTCAGCATGTTATACCACAGGATGGACGCCCAGGCATTTGGCATCTGACAGATGTTGGAGATCACCACGACTGGCAAGGAGTGGGTCTGTGGAGCAAATAGGGGGTGAACTGGGGACGCAGAGGGCGTTCATGTTTTCAAAATCTCTTCACCCATGTATGTCCCGGGGTTCAGAATAAAAAACCATGTTGAGAACCACACCCACTGCCACCTCTCAGGGAGGGGTGTGACTGAGTTGGTTCAATACCCAGAGTGGGAAGAATACGAAACAAGGGCCATAAGATTCAAAGTTGCTGTCTGAATATAACCAGGAATTTGTAAACTCTGACTTGCTCAGAGCTGGACTCGCAATCCCCAGATTTCCCACATACAAAACCTGAAAGGCATTCTCCGAAAATTGAAGAGGTATCTGCCCATTAAATAGAGAGGCTTCAGAAATCAAAGACTAGAATTCCTATTTTTCCAGATATATCTTTAATTTAAAGATCAAGGAAGTTGGAAAAGAGAAGGTAAAGGCCATGGTTTTCTGTATACTAAAAACATTGGCTGTTTAAAGACCATTCTGTCCAAACTTTATAAAGTTAACTAACTGTATAGTTAACTTTATAAAGTTAACTAACTGTATATCGAGTTTGCTGATATACACGAAAGCCGAGTGAACGTGAATCTTCCAAGCATTCAAGCAAGACTTCACTCTCTGATGGGATACTAAGGATTTTTTGGAGAAAAAGAAGCAAAAGTAAATAGTGTTTATAGTAAAGAGGCATCACCCCACTTTCTGTAGTAAAAATCCCACCCAGAAGTTCTCATCCTGAATCACCCCTGAGTATAGCCAGGTCCCCACTATGTAGCAGAACTCACCTCTAGGTCAATCTTGAGGCCTTGGTGATACACTTCAGTCTCAAAGGTGATCAGGTGCAGCTCCTCTGTCACAATCAGGGAGGCCTACAACAAGGACATTCAGTACTAACAGCCCCAGTGGAGGAGAGGACATGCCACAGCCTCCCTGCACTAAGAGTAACCCACCAGGTGGCCCCGGACAAACTGCCAGGGACACAGCTCTGAGCTTATGCTCTCTTCAACACCAGACTCTCCAACGCTGTGACCTTCGAAAACCTGATCTTTTACTGGGTTTTATTATAACATTACATAGACCCAGTAGGTTATTTATAAAATGGGTAAAGCACAACAAATAACAAAACAGTGAACACCTGTGTGCCCCCTACCCAGTTTAAGGAAAAGACCGTTACCATGGAGATTCTCTGGGTGTCCTCCCCGAAACCCATCCCTGCCCCTCCTCCCTCAGATGTAACTGCTATTTTATCTTTTGGGTTTACCATTTCCTAGCTTTTCTTTATGGTTTTATCTCCATAGTTATATCTCCAAACAATGGATATATTGTTTAGTTTTAGATGTTTGTGAACCTTATACATATGGAATCATACCCTGTGTATTCTATATATAGTGACTTTTCACATCCATGCGGTCGTGTGCATCTGCAATTTATTCATTTTCGCAGCTGTATAGTATTCCATCATATGACTACATCACAAATCATTTACCCATTCTAGTGTTGAGGAGGTAGAATTGTATTTAGGGCTCATAATCAGGCTGCTATGACATCTTGTACATGTCTCCTGACGCCCATGTGCAAAGGTTTCTCTACTGTTAAATCCTGGGAGTGGCACTGCTGGTTTATAAAGTGTTTTCATTTCTATAGTGTCAAATTGTTTTCCAAAGCAACTCTAACAATTTATACTCCCACCAGCAGTATAGCAACCTTGTTTTGAATGAGTTACCAATGAATTCTAAGAAACAAAATTCCAATTCATTTTTAAAATACTGTTTTCCTGATTACAAAAGTAAGACATGTTCAGTTTAAAATGTAGATATTACAGAAGCGGTGTAGAGTAGCCTCAGATACATAAGCACTGTTTGGTGCATATTCCTCTAGAGTTTTCTGATGCATACATGAACATGCAAAAATCAGTGTAGTGTATTTTTTAAACAAATATACGAATATACTACCCAGATTATTTTGCATGCTTTTTTAAACAAACTTACTACATACATTTTTCATCTCAATGCACACTCCTATCAAACATTATAAATTCTTTTTTTTTTTTTTTTTTTTTAAGGCTTGCTACATTTTAGAGAAAAGGGAAGAATGGCTAGGGGACAAATATCAGAAAAAGAACAGGGTGTCACAATTTCTTTTTCAAAAATCAAAAACTAGTTTTTAGTCATATTTATGTTTGTTTGTTTGTTTGTTTGTTTTTTAAGTTTATTCTTGACACTAAGAATCCAACAATCTAAATCAGTGGAAGGCTGAGAAGAAATAAAGACCAAGACAAGTTTTGCTCTTCTCCTTTTTTCAAATGTTTAAGTCAGATTTGTCATAATCTTCTATCCCACCTCAGTGAGAAAAACAAGTCACCAAAACTGGAGCCAGACAGCGTCAGCTGGCAGGAGCTGGAAGAGAAGTTGGGAAAGCCCCAGGCCAGGTGGCAGGCTTTTCTACTAAATGGGCGTGGGTAATGCAGCAAGGGACTTTCCATTCCTACTTAATGGTGAGCTAGCTCCAGGGACAACCGAGGAAATGCTCCAAGCCGGAGAACTCATGGCAAATGTGACTTCTGACAATGTCGTTCCGGCCCACCATGACTTTCCTGAATGACTAGAGCTGAAACAGCAGGTCTCTGTCTCTAATTCTGTGCCCTTTTCTCTCCCCCTCAAAGAAAACCCTCCCAGTTGGCTTTCATCCCCAACAAAGCTTACGTCACAGTTGGCTCGGCCTCCGTTACCACATCTTTGCTCTCTCAGGGTCTGTAAGAAAAGCAAACAGCGCCTGTGTCATGTAAGTCTGTCCCCTACCCTGTCCCTCTGCCGGAGGCCTTGGAGAAGGGGAGTTCCAGCACCTCCCACATACCAAGTGTTTGAATTCTGCGGAGAGGCTGCCATTGTTGGATTCTTCCATGTTCATCACTTTCGTGTTTGTGCCCAGAATGTTAAATTTCCGAGATCTGAATCACAGGAGAAAAACCAACCACATAAGGTGACTGAGTCGCCAAAGGACAAAGTTAGACTAAACAGAACAAAAGAAAGTCCCTGGGCTGAACTCACCCTCTGAGAGCTGCAACGTCCCCGGAATCTCTGTGAAGAACACAAACCAGTGTTAATAAAACAGGCCCCGTGTTTCTTCAAAAAGTCTACTTTGAACACCTGTAATTTACTCTGATGGAAAAACTGCTGTGCTGTTGGGAATTTCTACAAACTATTCAATTACATTTATATGTGAAATATAACCTTGTACATGTTTAAGTAGTATGCAGAGGTGGTTCCTACCCAACATCTACTGCCCCCTTCCTAAGAGAATCTTGAGTCTGCTCAGGTGCCCTTCGCATGTACCTTCAGGGGATCCTGCTCATTCAGTCCATCAGAACACAGCATGCCTACCGTGCAGTGGTCCAAGGGAGTGAGGACATGATCTATATTGTCTCAATCAGACTGGAAGGGCATTATATCCCAGACTGGATTTACATTCCATAGCTTCAGCTGAACGTAAGCAAGGAAGCAGGAAGCATTTGGCCTTAACTACAAGCAACCATGTTGCAACCCAGAAGGGAATCTTAGAATTCAGGTGATGAGAAGAGACGGAAGATCCTGGGTCCCTGATGGCATCATGAGTCACTGATCTCACTTTCAGGAACTTGCTCTAACTCTGCATTTCCAGTTACACTGGGTTGCAAATTTCCTTATTATTTAAGCCACACTGGGTTTTCTGTAAAGGTTTACTGTTACCTGCAACTCAGAGCATCCCATTTGATATAGTTGGAAATATCTTCCTGGTGTATCCACCATCCTTTAACTCTATGTTTTTGATTATATAGTTTTTTATATAGTCACGTGTCTCAGTCTTTCCCCTTTTTTTATTATTTTATACTGCTTTAAAAGTTCTCCATTGCTACACATTCACTTACACTTTTAGAATAATAGCTATAATTTATTAAATAGTGTATTCCAAGTGGGTTTACAGATTAAAATTGATCAGTTTTTAAATCGCTTAGAAGATATATTTCCACATATCACATTTTAGAACTTAAGAGTCTTCATTTCATTATCAGGAAAGTCTCCCTCTGTCTAACCTATATTTCTTTTATAAAAACATTCTTTTTTGAATTACAGCTTTGGTGTATAACTGATGAACAATAAACTGTACTATTTAAGATGTGCAATTTAACATGCTTTGATAAATGTATATATACTGTATACACTTGTGAAATCATCAGCCTGATCAAGATAATGAACATATCTATCATTTCCACAGTTTCCCCAGGCCCATTTGCAATCCATTCCTCAATCCCACACTCTACCTCACCCCTGTCACCAGGCAAATATGGATCTGCTTTCAGTCACTATAGATTCATTTGCATTTCTAGAATTTTACATAAATGGAAACATAGAATATGTACTGTTTTTTTCTTGATCCGGCTTCTTTCACTCAGCATAATTATTTTGAGATTTATTCATGTGTTGCAGGTATCAGTAGTTCATTCCTTTTTGTTGGTGAGTAATATTCCATTTTATAGATATACCACAATTTTTTATTCATTTACCTGTTAATAGACATTCATCTATGAAAGAACATTCAAGTACAACCCTTTGTATGGACATACGCTTTCATTTCTCTTAGGTTAATACCTAGGAGAGGAAAGGCTGGTGACAAGGTAGGTGCGTGCTTAAATCTTTAAGAAACTGCCAAACTGTTCTCCAAAGTGGTTCTACCATCTTGTCATTTTACCAGCGTTACATTACACACTTACCTATGGTTTTTTCTCCTATATTTTTAAGATACTTTTATTTTAAACATGCAACTACATCTGGAATTTATTCTGATGAACAGTAAAAAGTAAAATTCTAACTTCTCACTCAAATCCCCTTAATACCAAGTTGTGCCAAAACCACTAACTGACTAATCCATCCTTTTCTCACTGGTTTGAGATATCAATTTAAACATATATTAATTCCTTATATAAACCTGAAGTCTATTTCTGGATTTAGGATTTCGTTTAATGATCAATCAGCTTATTCCTGCCCTAAGAACATATTCATTTAGTAACTGAAACTTTATGATACATGTTAATATGTGGCAGCACAGCTTTTACACCATACCTCATTATTTTTATTTATTTTTAAAAAATGTTTTCGAAAGTAGAATGGTAGTGGCTGGGAGGAGAGGGAAATGGGGATTTGTTGTTCAATGGATGTAATTTTGACTTTTCAAGATGAAACATCCTAGAGCTCCGTTACACAATAATGTGAAAACACTTAACACTACTGAACTGTACACTTAAAAGTGGTTAAGACGGTTAATTTTATGTTAAAAATTTTTTTTACCATAATTAAAAATAAATAAATCCTTTCTTAAAAAGCTATCTTTGCTTTTCTTTTTTTAAACTAAGAAAAGCAAGTCAAGAGTTTAAAAAATCTCATAGGAAAAATCTTATTTGCATTTTGCTTGGTACTGTATCAACTGGGAAGAATAAACATCTTTTTAGTAAAATTAGAAGTCTGCAATCCAGGATTATGAGTTGTCTCATCACTTTTTATAATATCCTTTCCTCATTAAAATGTCACCATTTTCTTCAAATAGATCTTAAGTACTTCTGTTAAGTTGATCACAATATATTTTTACCTTTGTTGCTTATTGTGAGATCATTTTTCTATTACAATTCCTAATTGGTTAATGTTAATTTATGGTTGAAGTTATTAATTTTTGCTTATTTATTTATCAAACCTACCACCTTTCTCAAGTCCCTTATTTCATTAGTAATTATTTAGTAATTATTTCCATTGTCATCAGTAATTCTTTTCCAGTTTATTCTAAAGAAATTTCCAGATAAATAATGGTATTACCTAAAAAATAAGAATACATTTTTTCTTTTTCTAATCTCTTCAAAGAGTATGTACATTTTAATTTTTGAAAGGTATTGTCAAATTTTGAAAAGTATTCTATCATGGTAAAGTGTGGAACAATAAAATTAAAAAAAAAAAAACATTGTCCCCACATATTCTGTTTTATATCATGTGCATAATTTACATTTACAAGTAAAAAATTAAAGAAAAAGAGGAACTCGAGGTCACAATAGCAATCTCAACTCAAATCTGTCTCACTAGCTTTGTGGTTTTGTTCAAGCACGTAATTGACAATGCACTGCAAGTCCTTCGAAAACTTTGTTCAAAAAACAAAAGATCTCTGAATGGAGATAAAGTCTTTAAGTTCACATGATGTCTGTCAAAGTTCTCATTTCTCTGTCTCTCATTTGAAAAAAAAGAAAAAAGAGCTAAGATAAGGAGTACTTACTTGTCAATGCATACTTTAATTTTAAGCTGATAATTTAACTCAGGAAATTTGACCAGCAATCTATTTCAAAAAAAAAGAAGAAGAAGAAGAAGGTTTCTGAGCAAAGAAAAAACAATCCAGTTTTTTTTTTTTAAGTAGGTTCCCCAGAAACTTCTAGCTGAAGAAACATAAATAAATCATAATCCCAAACTCCTCTTCTTGCCAGTGCTGTCTTTGATCTTAAGTTAAGCACCACCCCTTAGGACAAAGGTACTGAAAAAGAGCCTAAGAACTTGGACAAAGTTGTGAGAGATTCACCAAAGGATAATAAAAGCTATTTCATGAAAATTTTACAGGAATATGAGCTGGTATTCTTTCTATTAAACTTGAAACCACACCAAGTTTCTGAAGAGGGAAATTTCACTGCAGAAGGGCAAACTCCAGCCTACCTGTCTGACTTGAGCGTGAAAGTAACGCTCCACTTGGCAGGCCCACCACCCGCCCAACCTGCGGCCCCTTAGCTTCTATATCACTAAGGCTTACTCTCTCCCTTAAAATCCTCAGGGAAAAGTAGGCTGAAAGAACAGAAAATAATCAGCATTGTTTTGCCCCTTTTGAAGGCAGAAGGAGATGCTGTTGTCTAAGACTATAGCCTTGGGACCATAAGAATATGCCCAGAGAACCTCAAAAAGATGACCTTTCTCTAGCTTTTGACAGAAGAATCAAAGAGCAAGTTGCTACTATGCCAACGAATCCCACTCCACCACAGTACTGCCTCTGAGGCCTGTGAAGAACGACGCTGGCCACCAACTCTATTCTCATCCTGAGAACGTTCCTCAATAAAATATCTACCAAAAATGGAAGTGCAGTGGCCCACCTGACTTTAGTAGTAAACTGGACACCAGTCTTGATGACTAAGGGCCGGTCGGGATGCATGGGCA